ATTTAAATCCCCCGCGGATTTCCCTATTACGGCTTCTGAAATTAACATGCCCCTTCCGGAAAAGGGGCCAGTGTAGACGTAGCCTGTCTGTGGGATGGAGCAAATCTGGTTGTGTTTTAGGGCATGGCTGTAGACCTGGGCGGGCAATAATTTTTAAAAGGGGGCCACACATTTCTGAAGTGGCCCTGGGTTGCCCCAGAAGGGGCAGGGCCTCAGGCAGAAGGGGCAGGGGCAGGAAACTTCTCTGCTTTCCCATGCACAAACCCTTGTTGGCCTGGGGGTGAGGAACATATGAAGTCTCCCCGCCCCCTAGAGAGAATTGCCAGGTGTTTTAAAACTGCTGGCAGTTCCCCCTAGGTGCTGCAGTGGGAGGAGAGCTCGCACGCTTCCCCTGCCCCATGGCCAGTCAGGGCCTGGGGGCAGGAGGAGCACCCAAAGTCTCTAGGCTCCCACCCCCACCCTGCCAGGGGTGCGTGGTGGCTAGAGAGAACCACCAGCTGTTTTAAAATAGCCAGCATGTCTCTCTAGCTGCCATGGGCCCCTGGCAGGTGGAGGAGACTTTGTGCACTCCCTCCACCCCCAAGCTAATCAGGGCCTGGAGGCAGGGGAGTTCACCAAGTCTCTCACCCTCTGTCCCCACCCTGCCAGGGGCGCGTGGAAGCTAGAGAGAATCACTGGTTGGTTTAAAACAGCTGGTTTTTCTCTCTAGTTGCTGCATGCCCTTGGCAGGGGGAGGAAACTTTGCACGCTCCCCCACCCCCAGGTATCGATTAGCGTTGGGGGGGGAAGGGCGGCTGCAGGCCAGATCCACTGGCTTGGCAGGCTGGATCTGGCCAACGGAGGCCCCTTTGCCCACCCCTGCTGTATACAGTGGCTCGTGTAATGTGTCCTGAATGGAAGCTAGAGGCATGTAGGTAAGAATAGAGCTCAGTAGGTTCCAGTATAGGGCAGAGTTTATGTGACCATTGTGTATTTGTGTATTTGTACTGTGTTGTCAAGGAAATGGATCTCTTGTGCGGACTGGTCCAGGCTGAGGTTAATAGTGGGATGGAAATTGTTGAAATCCCTGTGGAATTCTTCAAAGGGCCATGTCATGGCTCCTTCCCCACTCTGGCATGATAAATGCAGAAGTGGGGGTCAGCAAGTGTACCCCAAAGCCTTATCTACCAGGCTTTGGTATAAAACTTCCCCCCAAGATCTTAAAAACCTAGATCTTGGGAATAAAACTTCCGCTGCCACCACCCAAATGTTGATAAAGAAATCAGGGGAAAGATCATTTGGGAAATCTTACCCCTAAAATAAAAATCAAGGCACACAATTAACCACTGCCAGGTTAATAAAAAGAAAAGAAA